ATTTAAAATTTATTAATAAACAAATCATTTTTGTAATGTAATGATTATAGTTCGATATAGTTTCGATGTTGATTTTACGGAGCCCAATTAAATTAATCTTATTTTGAATTTCGGAGAATTTTCTAAAACAATTGAAATATTAAATTTCATATTAAATCAATGAACTTATTTAAATGGAAGTGTTTAAATCGAAATTAGAAATTTTATTTAGCTTCTGTTCAGACAATTATTAACGTTTTTATATATGTAAGTAGTACAGTAAGAATTACAGTAACAGTAACGTATATTAACAGTTAAAGTTCATATTTTGATTAGAAAATCGATTTCATGAACTTAAATAAAAATTGTTTTTTTTTTTTTTGTATTGCACTAATTTTTAAAGCAGCTCCTTTATACATTTACGTACAGAAGCATTCAAAAATACTCATACTCATATATATACGAGTATGTACTTATATGTATATAAGAAATTTATTATACTTAATGTACGTGTTCCCAATAAAATATTTTTATTAGATTGGGAATATTTTCGTTGAAAAATAAATTTAGGGTAAAGAAATAGAAATCGATTTTCAATTTACAATTTAGTTTTTTTTCTTTTTTTATTCAATTCATAAGTATACATACTTGCATACATCGCTAAATTTTGAATTTTTCTTTTTAGTTTTTTTCATATTTCACTTAAATGAAATGAAAATTATTTCAATTTTTTTATATATTATCTTGTTTGCTTACATACGATCCATGATATTTCTTACAATAATTGCAATTCTAAAAACTATATAGTTATTATTTTTAAAGGTAAATAATTTTAAAAATATTATTTTTATTCCATTTAGTGAAGTATTTTCGGTTTTTCATTAGGAATTAAAATAAAATTTATTTTAGTTTTTAACCTATTTAACACGTACTTATTTAGTATAAACATTAAATTTATTGTTATTTATTTCAAAATGCTGTTGGAAAACTCATTTTCAGGCTTTCGGAGACCTTGTATTTGTAAATTGTTTTAGAAATTCTGATTTTATTTCCCTCAATTTTTAATTACATTATTTTAAGAATATCATAACTATAGTCTATTTGAGTAGTACTTTATTAAAAATAACATTTCCAAATTTAACACGCCTTAAATCTAATATTTTTTTTACACTGAACTGAATCTACTAAAATCTAAATCTTAATCTAAGATAAAATCTCGCATAAATATACGCACATTATAAGACTAGTATGGAAATTTTATAATGCTGAAGGTGTTACTTTATTACCGAATTAATGCTTGCAACTCACAGTACTATATTTGCTTAATAAGTAATATCTTTTTGAAATGCCTGCGTTAACAATATTTTCAAAATAAGGATCTAGAATCTAGCGAAGAAAGTATAATTCATTTAAGTGTAATTTAAGCTTTATTTTGTTCAATTGAATAGTTTGACAACACTTATATAAGCTATACCTATCACCTATACCGAGTCATAAATTAAATCACTAAAAATTATTAAATAAATTCAAAAAAATTTTATTGAAATTCGATGCATCAACAATTTTCTTTTTTTAATTTAAAAAGCTAGAAATTAAAATTTTTTATCAAAATAGTTTGTTTTGTATTTTATTAAAAAATTCACTAAACATACAAATTACAAAAAAAAAATAAAATGGTAATTAAATTTTTTTTTTTGTTCATTATGAGCCTACAAATTTTTAATTATTTACCATAAACCACACTAAATTCACGATGCGAAACAAAGAACAAACGCAAAACGGCAAAAAAACACAAAATTGTTTACCTTGCAATAATCCTAAAACGGTAAATACATAATATTTATGTCATTTAATTTTCCTCTTTGTCATGCATTACTCAAACATATATACACACATACATATACACATATAATATGTTGAGATTTAAATGCATTCTAACAAAATTATTTAAAATGACAACTGAGATATTTTTAATTAAAACTCATTTGTTTTATGTACAGTGAGCTTGAAGCATTTTATTTGCTCTTTTTTGTTTTGTTTTTTAATATTTTATGTAAAAATAATTTTCACCCTCTCATATATTTATGTACAATATGTGATATTTCTGTAAAGTAAGTAAATTGTACATGTATACATGTATGTACATATGTATATAAATTTTATGCATAGATTAATTTATTTATCTAGGTTCTACAGTAAATAAAATTACAATTTTTTTTTGCTTTATTTTCATACTTTATTGCAAGATTCGACTTTGTACTTAGTAGAATTTAATTGTAGAATATAAATTATTTAAACTACGTAAATTCACCACGCATTTACGTAGTGTAAGCATGTCGCTACATATCCGATATTCTAACGAATATTGTCGATAACCAAGAGGAAATTTGCTTAATTAATAATTTACAGCCTAAAATAAATAGCCTACCTTACTTATAGCAATTTTGTAAAGATGAAGCACTAAAATTTAACAATTCAGCTAAAACAAATTTACAAATTTATTTTTGCGGCAAATATTTTTCCAAGTATTTAAAGAGAACGTTGTCAAATTTTTATTCAAATTCAATTTTAAATTTCAATAAAGTTGGGTCAAACCAATGGTTTGTATTGTAGCACTTTTCCCTTCAACAAGTGAAAATACTGCTTTTAAAAACAGTCTATGTATATCCACCACACTATTAAAATTATTTTCATTTATAAACGAAACTATTTCTAGGATTGCATATATTTAGGATGAACCATTTATGCAGTCTTTGAAATAAAGCAAAATTTAATATAAACAGGGGTTAACATAATCCTCGATTTTAAGGGTTAATTGTGTGAGTTAAGAAAAATAATTATATTTTTTAATGTCATAGAATTTACCGTTAACTTTTTGCGTTTATAGAAATTTGAAAAAACTTGCGGTTTCAGAAATATAAGGTGTCAAAAATGCAAATTTTACAAATTTCAAGAGGCCATAACTTGAGAGGGGGTGGAGATGGAAAAAAATTTTCTTCTAACGAAATGAACTACTTGTTAATGTCTAAAAGCCCCTAAAATTTCAAGCTTCTACAGGCTGGGGTCTAGAAGAAAAACGACATCAAAAATTTGGAAAAAAAGGACTTTAGATAACGGTAAATTTGAACGGCCATTTTGTTTTTCTAAAGTTTAACTATAGTATACCGCGATAGGGGAAGCCAGCCACTGCCTTTCTGCGTTTGCAAAATTTCAAAAATGCTTATGGTTTCATTGCAACAAATAGTTAAAATAGGCCATTTTTAGTGCTTTGGGGGGGTATAAATTCTAGAGGGGGGGAGATAGGTAAAAATTTTGTTCTACGAAAATAAGTTTCTAGTAAAGATCTATGTATGTATTAAATTTCAGCTTTCTATCTTTAAGAATGTAGAAGTTTTGTAAACAGACACACGGACGGACGGACGGACGGACGGACGGACAGAGTGAAACTAATAAGCACTTTTTTTCAAAAAATTTTTGGAAAAGTGCTAAAAACTTAGGTATTGATATTATTAAGTTAGATTTCGATTTAAATACGGCGAATTCACGTACTATACTATGCATAAACTTTTCTGTAAACCTTCAAAAATAGTTTTGAGCTCAATTTAAATATGAAGAAGTAATGAGTTTCAGTTTTAGAAATAAATTTATTAACTGCTTACAAGTATTAGAGAAGTTACTGGCCTACTTATTTGATTCTACATTTAATTCTCGCATTCCTAAATTATACTAGAAATTATAGCCTCATATTTTTCGTATATAAAACCGTAAAATAGCAATTAAAATTTTAAAGTACATTTAAAACATTAATTTATGGATTTATTCACGTTTAATTAATATAAACACATTCATACATACTTACATATAATATTATATTTTATTCATTTGCATTTCTCAACCATATAAAGTTGAGCAATGAGCCCTCCTAACCGAATCATATAATTTTTTAGAAGAGCATTATTAAGTATAAAAGAGAATATTATGCTTGTTGCTCTTTTTATTTTATTGTTATTATTCTCTCTACAATGTAATTGTTGCCATTTTTACGTGAAATTAATCAGGCATAAATTCCACATAAATAACTTCAAAAGATATCTTAAGCCTTCTCTATATTTTTTTCGTCGTCTTCTTCTTCTTTTTCTCTTACATTGTTAAATATTTGATATACATAGAATATAATAGGCTTTTGAAAATGTTAATGAATAAGGATAATACATGCATTTTTTTCTTACGCTAAATTACACTTCCATGGCCGTTCCATATAATGTTTTCCTCAAAAAAAAAAAAAAATGAAAAACTTTGAAATAATCATAGATGCAGTTTTATCTTTTAGAAAATATATTTGTACATGCATTTATTTGAATTCAAAGTAGGGATAGAAAAAATGCATCCTTATTAATTAATATTTCTTGTATATGACAAGGAAATTGAATTCATGTGAGCTGTATTCCATTTTTGTGTTTTCATCTGTAATAATTAAAAATTTTGAAAAACGCATAATTTTTATGGATAGGACAGGATGAATAAAGGATTTTATTAATTTCTTTGATTGAAGATGAAATTGTCAAATTTGTGAATAAATTTGTGAGTTTTTGGCACTTTTGGCAATACTTAATAAATTCTAGCAAGGCCAACTTACGAGTTTACAGAATTTGTCATTGTCAAACTTACATATGATCAAAAATTTGTCAATTTAACTAAAATATAAATTTACTATTTAAACTACAGAGAGAAATTTTCATAAAATCCTATAGTTACCTTGTTCAAAATAATCAATAGTTTTGCTATGAAATTTCTAAAACAGATACACACAATTTTGTATTTTATTTTTAAAAAATTGTTATACAACTTGCATTTGAATGCAAGCATTTAATTAAATTATTTATGTTGATAGTCATTGAGTTTAATTAAATTTTTATATACATACGAACGTGCTATAATTTCAAAATGTAATTGCTAACAATTTTAATATTAAATTTAATGACAATTTTTATTTATTTTTTTTTTCTTTTTCTACTTTTCAGGTTTAAAAAAATTTCTTGGTCAATATCCGGCATTATTTCAAATTAGTGGTGATTATGTTCAAGTAAATTGTTATCAAGCTGCAAATCCAAATGATCCAACTGGTGTTTATGGTGGTAGAAGAGATTATATACAAGAAGCAAAAGATTATTTTAAACATAAAATGCGTCAATATGGTATTGGAACCGAAGTTCCAATAAGAAGTTTATTAGGACATCGTAGTCAAGCATCACCACAAGTACGTCATATATCTGGTCAACATATTAGAGAATTTACTGAATTTCTTGTTAAACATCCAGATACATTTAAAGTAATTGATGATCATGTTGTATTAGTTGGTTGCGATGATTTAGAAGAATTACCACCATCAGAACGTTTACATTTACCACAAACAACAATTGATACAGAAGCTACACAACAGTTATTAGATTTTTTTGCTCAATGTATACAAGTAAAAGGTCCGGTACTAGTCGATCAATTATTTCATTTGGTAACATCAAAATTTCCACAAGAACAATGGTTTAAAATGTTTAAAACACCAAATGATTTAACAACATTTTTACGTATTTTTTCTGATTGTTTTCATATACAAGCGAATCTAGTCACATTATTGCAAAAACCAAAATTATCTGATTCTCATATACAACAGGCTCAAGCAAAATCTCGTGAACAATATAATGCTATTAATAATAAATTAAATAATAATAATATTTCATCAAATAATAATATAAATAATAATTGTAATAATGTTAATAATCAACAAAATAATAAAATACAACAGCAGATTGGAAATTATAAGGATAATAGTGGTAATAACAATAATGGTAAACAAATTTTGTAGCATTTTGAATATTTCTCTTAATATTAATTAATTTTTATTTTTAGCTGGTAACACTAATAATAATGTTGTAACACCTGACTTCAAAATAAATGAACCAGTTTCTAATATTTCATCAAATATAAGTGGAAATCAACAATATAATAATAAGAGTGAACCGAATAGCGGTTTCGACAGTTATATTTCTCCTTTAGATTTTAAAATGGAAAATTTATGTGAAAGGAATTGTCCCAGCCCATCGATTAGTTCATATTATAATAATCAAAATCAACAGCAACAAAATCAACAGCAAACTCTTAATAATGCAATAAATCAACAACAACAAACGGTAACAACTCCAATACCACATGGGGCACCAGAACGTATGAAAAATCAAACATTAAAACAACGAATTAATAGTTTAGTTATGAAAACTTTAGCCGAAAATCTTGAAAAAGATAAACATATTATGATGGTACAGAATGCATGTAGCGGCGGTGGTCAATCTCCATTACAAAATTCAAGCCCAGTTCATAATGCTAATTCCACAAATAGCGGAAATTCTTTAATAAATACAACAAATAATTTCTTTGTTGGTGATACATGGAAAATTAGAATATTTCAGAGTACACGAGTTATATCAACAATTAGAGAAAGTATATTTGTCACAGAAGCTATAATGAAATTTGCTGAAAATGATAAACAGGTTGTGATCTCACTTGACTGTGAAGGAATTAATTTAGGTATTAAAGGTGAAATAACTTTAATTGAAATTGGTACTACACAAGGTGAAGCATTTATATTCGATATTCTAACATGTCCACAATTGGTACATGATGGTGGCCTAAAAAAATTATTGGAACATGAAAATGTTATTAAAGTTATTCATGATTGTAGAAATGATTCAGTAAATTTATTTCAGCAATTTGGTATTATATTGAAGAACGTTTTTGATACTCAGGTTTGTAAAAGAATTTAAAAGTAACTTTCTAGATTAATTACATAAATCCATTTATTATGAATTTTAGGCTGCTCATGCCGTTTTACAATTTCAAGAGCAAGGAAAGCAAGTTTATAAAGCAAAATATGTATCATTAAATACATTATGTGAAATTTATAATGCTCCTGTTAATCCAATGAAAGATCAATTAAGGAATGTTTATCGACGAGATCAAAAGTATTGGGCAAAACGACCATTAACACGTGATATGTTATTATATGCTGCGGGTGATGTTTTAGTTTTGATTAATGATCAATTATATGCAAATATGGCCAAGTAAAATATTCTTTACACAAAATTATTAAAAAATACTTTAAATATCATTAATATTAATCTTTTTCTAGACTTATTAAACCGGAATATCGACAACTTTTCTCTGAATTGTGTACAGAACAAATATTAATGTTAATTAAACCAAACGAAGTTAAAATTCGTAAGAAACAACGTAAGGTTGCCACAGAAGTTTCTGATTTAAAACAAAAATTGTCACAAACTAGTAAAAGTATAGTACTAAGTAATAGGGAAATTAGATTATTAAGGTAAAATTCATATATAGCAAAATAAATTTAATAGCAAAATTTATAATATCAAAAAATAATTTTTTTTAAAGATATATGGATTTGACTGAAGACGAAAAAGAACGCTTAAAAGGTTTCTATAAGGTAGCTAAAAAATTAGAAAAAATGGATGGTGGAGGTGGTAATCAAGATAAAGATGGTAGTGATTCTGATGATGAACAAGAACAAACAGAACCAGATAATTTTCCAAGTTTGGATAGTGTGCCATCAGATAATTCATTAGGTGGTAATTTTTCACCAAGAAATTCTGAACCACCAAGTTTAATTGAATCAATGCAATTATTGGATGAGATATTAGTCGATACAACAATGGATCGTATGGAACGTATAGATAAATTAGAAGCTATATTATCAGCTGCAACACAACTTGAGGATCAGGTATTAATCATAATGAAATAATATTGTGTTAAAGCGTTGAACTAATTAATTTTTTTTACATAATTTAATAGGAATATCCTTCTGATCAATATGATGCAAAAGCAGAAACTATACAGAATGCTAAAGAGAAGGCAAGAAAGTGAGTACATAATTTTGTTTTTTTTTTTTCTTGATCAACCTTCTAAAAATTTTATTCAAAATAAATTAATATCATTCCATTTTTTGTTATTTTTAGCTTAAAAAATTGCAATTGTAATTGTCATAATGCAATTAATCGACGTACACCACCAATTATTGTAAAAAAGCAGGAAGTAGCGTCACAAACATTAAGTACTGGTGATATTACAATTATTAAAGTGCATTTCGATGATGAAAAAACAAAATCACAGGAAAAAGTTCTTGCTTCGTCACCAAGACGTTAATAATTTGTATAATATACAAATAAAACGATGAAATTAAAATTAAATATCAATATTTCGTTAAATGGAATTAAATTCCTAGAAATATTCGAATACTTTAATTATAAAAAAAAAAAAAACAAAAAATTGTAAAATAAACATAAAGAAAATTTTTGTTTTTTTAACATTTAGAACAATTTAATCAAATATATCTGACCAATATTTTCATTAAATCTCAAAAAAAAAAACATATCCCAGTTCGATCTATTTATGTATTAACGTAAATGAAAGTATTTGGTTCAGATTGAAGATTTAAATTTAAAAAATATGATATGTTTTTTTTTTTCCTTCCTGTGTTTACACACTTTATTTTTTTTTTTTTTTATATTTAAATTTTTAAAAATAACTTTTAGATTTATATAAATTCAGACTTTAAAAATTTGAAATTTTTTTTACTTATTCACAAAATAATAAAATAATTTTGAAAAAAAAAATAAAAGAAATAAGAAGTGTGAAATTACAAGAATTATTCAATAAATTTTCAAAAATGTTTCAAAAATGTTTGAAATTAAAAAAAAATTAATAAATGAGAATTGAACAGTTTCATTAAAATGTTAAAATATTAAAAAATAATTTGCATTTCCATAATATTAACGTAATATTTTTTTGAAGAACATAATAAGACTAATTAAAAATGTTTCATATCCGAATATGGTAGCTATTGTTTTTACAGAATAAAAATCTTTTTAATTATATTTTCATAATTAAAATATTCGATAAAAATGAAAAATATTATAATATGTATAGAAAATAAATTGAAAGAAATGTTTAGCCACACTCTACCCTTAAAAAAGTCTGATTTATTTATTTCAAAATAAAATTAATTAATTAAAAATTTAATATTTTTTTTTTTATAATATTATATTAGGAATAATATTAAAATTCTTAAATTTTATTTTTTTTTAGTTGTTTTTAGTTGTTAATTTTAAGTAAATGAAAGATTATATATAAAATATTTTATAGTGAATCTATAATTGTAAAATTATTGTTTAACATAATTAATTATTCATAAGAATTAAAATAAAGTGAAAAATGATTTTGTTTTTGATTTTTTTTTTTTTAATATAATTTTGATAACACCATATTTTTTTTTTTTGTACCTACTAGGTTGTGTATTTTAAAAATTTAATTCTTACAAGAACAAGAAACAGTTGTTTAATATAAGAAAAATTTATAATTATAAATAATATTGGTGTATTTAATTTGGTTAAAAATCGGATCGATTCTGATAAAAATTTGCAATTTAAAAAAATTTGATATCTTACCCAGCATTTACACGTACAAGTTACTTGCAAGAAAGTTGCAATACATACAAAAATTTTACTAACACATTGAAATATTTCTACTTGCTTGTTTACTTGCACTTCAACTTGCAAGAAAATTTTGCTGCCAGTAATTTGAGCAAGTAATTTGACATATTGAGAAATTCAAAAAAAAAAATTTGTTGTTTTGATTTTTTTTTTTTTTTTAATTTAAAATTTTTGAATTTTGTTTTGAAAAAATTAAACTTAGCAAACTTATGGTTTCTAAAATTTATAAACAATTATATATATTGCTAGTTGTTTTCTTCTCAAAGACATTTTCAAAAATTAACTTGCTAAACGCCTACGTCATAATAGCAAGTAATTTGATATTTCGAAAAACTAATTGACAATTAATATTATACAAACTTGCATGCAAGTAACTTGTATGTGTAAATGCTGGGTTAATTATAAGATGACACCGTTAGATGACATTTACAAAACATAATAATCAATATTTTTTTTTCTCAACAGATGTCGTCACATTGAAATGATTAAAATTTTTTCTTATAATTTTAATTTTATTATGTACTTTTTACTTACATATTTTATTTGTAATAATAAATATAATTATTGAAAATTGTAAATAATCAAATAAATAACATTATAATTGTTTCAATTAATTCATATTATTGAATTATATATAAAATTAATAAATAAATTTTTAAATAATATTGTCATAAATTTTTCGCAAAAAACAAAAAAAAAAAGGAATTATAAAATTTATAAATAAGTAAATATTTTTATGTTAAACAAGAAATAAAAAAGACACATAAAAAATTAAAAAAATAATTTAAAAGAAAATATGAAATGAATTATAAATATATTTTTATTTTTGATTCAGATGAAAATTCATAAATAAAATTTGTATGTATTTGTGTTTTTTGCATTTTCATTTAATATTTCTTTAATTTTAAAAATTATTTAAATTGTAAAATTGTATAGAATTTTAATTTCATATTTAAATATTAAAAATGAATTAATTAAGTAAAAAAATCAAAAAAAAAAAAAAATAAGATTATAATTATGAAACATATCTTCTTTTTAAACGATTACTGCCTTAAAAGACGATACATACATTATAATAAATGTGAAAATAATAATTTTATCTGAATTAAACTTATCTTTTTTTTTATACTTAAAATATACTCAATAAATTTTGGTATTTTTAATAACTTTAATCATCGAAGGATTTAATATTGTCACATTTTTTGGTTTTTTATTTTATTTATATACTGCAAAAACAATGAAATCATTTAAAATGATAATGAAATTTAATTTCATATGGAAAAATAAAAAAAACACATAATAAATATTGATTAAATTTACAAAGATTCATTATAAAGAAACAATGGTGCCTAGAATTAGAAGAATTGAATGTAAGATATTGAAAAAAAAAAACAAATTATAACAAAAAAAAAAAAACACAATTGTATATTTAAAATGTGTAATTATTTATTACAATTCAATATGAAATCAAATTAATTATAAAATATAATTTATATAATAAACATTTATATGAATTCCATTTCGTTATAATAATTGTTAACATACATATACTAATTAAAAAAAAAAAAAGAAGGAAAATATTACTTGAATCTTAATTGGAATTCATTAAATTTAATCATTTAATATAATTTTTTCTTTTTGTTTATTTAAATTTTATAGAAAAAACAAAAAACATCTGTAAATAATATGTTAATTCATATTATGATATTTGTTTTGAATATAAAAAAACATAACTAAAAAAAAAATTTCAATATAAAAATCAAAAATTAATTATTTCATTTTATGAGTATCAACATTATATCATGTATAACAAGAAAATATCAGCCATAATTATATAAAAAAAAAAATAATAAAAATATAAATAAAACTATTACTTAAAATATTACAAGAAAAGCAATGAAAATTTTATGAAAAATTGTAAAAAAAAATTACGAAATAATAATAATAATAATAAAAAAAAATTGTAAATATAATTTTATCATACGTCTTTTTCTTTATAATTTTTTATTTTATAGCTAATTTATTTTTCTTGTTTTTTTATAAATTAAAGTACTAAATTTGAAGACAAGTTCTTCTAAACTCAATTCGTCGAATTTGTTCTCATTCTATTTTATATTATTTTTCTTTTAAATAAAACTCAAATTAAATTAAATAAAATTTTTAAAAGGAATTTAGAAAATAAAATTGCGTATCTTATAAATTATAACCAAAATTTATTATTTTTATCAGTTTATCAGTTTGAGTTAAACCATAGAATGCTATGAGGATTCAAATATTGAATTAAAAAAATTAAAAACAATTATTTTGTCATTTGTTTCGTAACATTTAGAATTTCAGTTTTTTTATTCATGAATATTGCAATTATAATTAGAAAATAACAAAAATTTTAAATTTGAATTGTTTCACTTGACCAAAATTACATTTAAAATCAATAAAATATTTAGTCTCTTTAAGTTTTCTTAAATAGATTTTTTTTTGCAATTTATGTAGTAATATTGCAAATATATGTATTAATAATTATCTACCTACTCACCACTACCTATATTGTTAAATAACAATTTACTTAGTAACCATTTAATTATTTTTGCTTTAATTTATATTTAATTAATTAAAAAATTTTATGTAATATTAAACTTTCAAGTGTTAAAACTAAAGTAAAATCTTATAGAATGAAACTGAATAATAAAAATTAAATAAATTTTTATATAAAATTTCAAATTAAATGGACAAGTAAAGTAAGTGCCTTTACTAATTATTTAATATGCTTCCGGCTTTTTAATTAATTACAATTTATTTTATATATTTAAAAGTTTTCCATCAAGATCTATATTTTTTTTTTAAATATACACATTCACTCATGTATTTTTACCGACCGTATTGTGTAAACAATAGGTAGGTTATGTGATGGCAACAAATTTTGCATATCGAGTTTTCGGTGGGAACGTACTTCTCTTCATAGTAGGGAAGTGTAAATAAACTATTTTTAGCAACCTGTCGGTCTGTCGGTCTGTGTGTGCACGCGTGTATCTCAAGTTCGGCTGAACCGATTTTGATGAAATTTTATATGTAAGTTTGTTTCCACCATGGCACGGATCGATCAACTTTTGGTATATATCAACCTCGGGAACTGCACTTTTTACCGGGTCTGTTTTACATTTTTGAACATTTTGAAGAAAATATTCAACCGATTTACTTGAAATTTTATATATAAGCTCAGCTCGATCGTCCGCAAAAATTCGTATGTTTTGGAAGAAATCAGGTACCAGCAACTGGGCGTTTACTACGGGCCAAATATACATTTTTGTGTATATAAAGAGAAATAATCAACAGATTTCATTGAAATTTAATATATGAATTCCCCGTATTAAAACAATGAACATGTAAATTTTTTGGAAAGATCAGGCGTCGGCTACTAGACGTTTACTACGGGCCAAACATACACTTTTGTGTATATAAAGAGAAATAATCAACCGATTTCATTGAAATTTAATATATGAATTCCTCATATTAAAGCAATGAACATATAACTTTTTTGGAAAGATCAGGGCTCGAGAACTGATTTGCGGGCCGATTTTACATTTTTCACCATATCCACAGAACAAATTGATGGAATTTCTTGAAATTTAATATTTGAGTTCTGGTTGTTACCGAAACTAACTGGCGAGCATTTCAGGGAAATCGGGTAGCACAAAGCGAAACTCTACTAAGAGCCAAATTTACATTTTTCTAAGTATGTTAACTATAAGCTTACTAATGTCCTAAAAATTGGAAAGAAGTATTTAACAGACATTTTTATAATATTCTGTAACACTTTCATTTAACTAGACAATACACAATGCGGTCGGTTATGTGCTGACCACATCAGATTTTTTTTATTTGTTTTAGTTTTTGCCTAAATTTTACTATTGAAATTATAAGTT